TTGAATTAGGGATAATTGATTATTTTGAGCAATAATCAATTATTTGCACAAACAACTTTTTTTTAAACAAACTCGTGATAATCGATTATTACACCAAATAATCGATTATCTGTTCAAACATCTTCTAAATATGAAAACTTCTAAGTATTCTCACACCAACAAAATAATTCTACAAGATACTTTTAAAGTAAATACACCGAGAATCTTCTTCAAGTCTTCATCTCTTAACACCATCAAAACTATGATATCTTCAAAATACCAATGCTCCTAGTTGATAACATGAATAGTTTTTAAGAGAAATTTAAAATAGTAAAAAAGATGTTTATAATTAATTTAGTATTTTTTAATATATAATTTTATATTATCATAAAATGAATATTTAAATTTTGGTATTTCAATAAGAAAAATTAATTTTTAAAATACAAATTGTTTTTATTTTATGAAAAAAATGTTATATGAAATTATATCTTAATTTTAATTTATGTTTCTAAAACTTATTTCACTTCTGCGCTTTAACCTAACTTCTTTTATCTTCTCAAAATTTATATAAGTGATTGTTTGTAATAAATTTAGTAAGTGGTTTAAAAATACATGTTTCCTGAAATGTAAAACTTATGCAAACAAAATCTAAAACTATAAAATATACATTCCCTTTTCAACAAAATTAATTAACTGCCAAGCGAATTAACTTTTAATTGAAGTAACTGTTAGCTAGCTTCTCATCAGGTAATTATTACTCAATAATTTAGTTAGTAAATATAAAATGATGTAAAAAATATATTTATATTAATGAAATATACGCTTTTAAAGACGAAAATGTATTATTACATAATAATTATATTATATTTTTAAAATATAATTAAATTTTATCAAACTCTTCAATACTTTTATTTATTTAAAAATATATATAAAATTATTTATTTATTTTATATGAAATAATTTGTTATAACTTCAATAACATAATTTATGAAATATATACATTATTTTAATTTCATATATGAATTTTATTGGTCTGAATGATGTATTTTAATTTAAGTAGATAAAAACAGTTCTATATTTAAAATGATATATTGATTAAAATTGTAATTTTATATTGATTGAAATATAAGAAGTAAAATTTTAATTAAAGTTGACTTCGGATAATCAATATATAATTTTTTTTTACATTTATTTAATTATTTTAAATTACTTTCATATATAATGATATAAGATTTTATTCCTTTTTCTCCTATCAAAATATATACATCTCCATACTAAAAGAAAGGATAAACTCATAAAATAACAAAACACTTTAAGCTCTAGAAACATGTAATTATAATTGGTATAAAAGTATGAAAATGAAAGATACGAGAATTATAAAGTTTATTATAGTATTTTACCCTTTTCACTCTACCGCTCTACCAGCTGTATATAAAACCAAAGATAATGTTTATTTACCTGTTGATTAGTCTATTATAGTATTTATAATAATTGATTGTTGAGTAATTTTCAATCAATTAAACAATGACACATAAATAATTTTAAAATATTATTAAAATATTATTATCCTAAAACCAATTTACATCCTCGTATCAAAAACTTCCGAAGGGTGAGAGAGACAGGTGCGGCATGGCAGGTTGGTGGAGCTGAGGTGTTGATTACATAAAAAGTGAAAAAGACAGACAAAAGATGCCACGCTCTCCTTGTCGCGTGAAGCTACCCACCTATTACAATCCAATGACTCATATCACTCAACTCAATTGCCCTCGGAATGAACCAAACATCCATGTGGGACCCATTCAGTTGGTGTGCTTTTATTTTATTTTTAAAGCAAACCGTGGTTGGTGTAATATGCTTGGTGTATTTATCTCTTTATTTATTGCAAAAACTTTTAAATTTTATATATTTATCAATTTAATAATATATTAATTATTAAAAAGTCTGGTTTAATTTTTTAATTTCAATAATATACCACTTCGTTTTAGTAGATCTCGAATTATATAGAAAGTATTTTTTTTTTTTATTTTTTTTTGTATAAAATATTAAAGGTGTGTTTATTTTGAATGAATGATTTGGAAAGAGGAAATGGATGAATTTGAGAGTTAATTAATTGTTGATTATTTAAATAGATTTGGAAGAGAGAGTGAAAATAAATTTATATGTAAAATTTGTGAAAATTAATGTAGAATTCGATTCATGTAACAAATAAAAAAAATTTTTTAATTAATAAAAGTTGAAGATTATTAAAAATTAGAATAATATAAAATAATAATTGTTATTATTTATATTATTATTATTACTATTATTATTATTATTATTATAAAAGAAAAAAATATGAAAATTATAAAATACAGCAACCAACGATAAATATGAAAGTTAGTTTAAATCATTGGAAATCATCTTATTTATAAGATGATTGAAAATACCATGAATTTCGCATTTCCCTTCTTTTTCTTATATGCTAATCTTTGCAAACGAATACAATGATCCCTGTTTTCCATCTGCGTTCATTCTTCTGAACAGGAGTTTCCATTTAAACGAATATACCCTAAGTCATACATGTTAATACCTTGAGACATTCTATCTTTAACTAATTAACGTAAAAAATTAATTAAGTAATTAGGAATAACGAACCTGACTAATTTAGGTTTATTTAGGTACAAATTTATTAAAATAACATAAATAAGCATGAGGTAAAAAGATTGTTCAATTATTACTACATGCGTCTCTAACAAGTGAATAGTGTTGATTTGGTAAGTGATTTTGTTAGATGTATTCCATAAAAGTCCTAAACAAAGTCAAGTGGATACATATAAGATCCAAAAAAAAAATGTGTAAGACCTGTATGATACTTGTGAGGATATCTCTATTATTGTAAGTATAAATAATATTAATTATTAAGTATTTCAGATATTATTTTAATTAATCAAGGTAAATATTTTAACTAACGAGTTCATGATCTGAAGGTATGTTTGTATCCTTATCCATTATTTAATTGTAAAAAGTATGCGTGTCCTAAGTGATTCATCCTTTTCATAACTAATTACAAAAAAAGAATGGCATAAATAGTAAATAATGATAAATGAAAATACAAAAACTAAAAGGATAAATGACAAGGAAAAGAAACTTAAAAGAATCTATGGTTTTCCTTATTAATTTCTATGGATGGTAGAAAACAATGTGAAAAGAAAGAGCATGAGCCAAACTCAAACTTCCCAAAACAAAATCAATAAAAAAGACAGATAAATGAAAACTGGAGACTTAGGATTAAGGAAAGGAAACAAGGAATAATTGAACAAGAAAAGATACTTTGGAACCATCAAAATTCTTCCAACCAAAAATGCCAGTCATCTTCATATCTACCCTCCTCAAGCGTCCTTTTCTCGCCACTAAATCAGAAACAATTGCTTACTAATAAAATATACACGAAACAATTTTGTTCAGAATGTGCTTGTGCAAACAACATTCAACAAAGCATTTGGCAAAATCAACGTCAAAACACCTACAAGATAAATTAAACAATTTCTTCAGAATGAAATTCTCATCTTCTACTTTGTAATTCGTACAAGTACAAAATAGGTATATGCAAATACATTTTTGAATTTAAAAAATTGCATTCTTACGCTCATGATGAAAAAGAGTGCCAATGAAAATGCTTGCAAAATAGATATGTATATATATATATATATATGCAATATCTGTAGAATTTGGAAAAAAAATGTAAATAATTTAATAGATGTGATAGATGAAAAAAATATTTTAATAGATTAGTGGTAAAATTATATATTTGTCCTTATAATTAAAATTAAAAAATAAAATAAAATGTAATTAATTAAAAAAATAATTAAAACTTGAATGATTTTTTTATAAAAAAATTAATAGGTATAATTAATTTAAAATATTGTGATTGATTAAAAATATTTTAATTAATTATTAAATTATAAAAAATCAATACTATTATTAATTAATTACTTTTATCATTATAACTTTTATTAGTATTTTATTTAAATGTTATATTATTTTTCCACTAATATTATTTTTAAATGCTTTATATTTCATTGTTTGTATTAATATTGTTATTATAATTATTAATTATCATAAATAAAAGGTTCTAAATTTCAGAAAAAGTTAAAAATTATTTGGTAATTTCATTTTTCTTCCCTCAAATCTCTTGGATTGGATTTGAGAGATTGAATCTCACTTCCCACTCTCCAAAACTCTCTAGTTTATGAACAGATTCATTGAAGGGGAAACATGTGTGTCTTTCTGACTCACTCTCACATAAATATTGAATCCATTGAAAAGATAAAGCAATAAAAGTAAATTTAGATGGAATAATAATGCTCAGAAACACAGATTGAAGAAGAGTCGTTCCACTGCCAAAGATCAATGTTTTAGCCTTGCAAATAGACTGTCTTTGTTGTGACCTCTCCAAACCAAATTTAACCGTTTGTTCTGTACACCCTTTTACTAAGATACTTTCCCACACTAGCAGTCTGTTGGCAGACACAGAAAAACTTAGCACTGGAGAAAAACAATCGTGTCTTATTTGGATTTACCTTTCGGCCAATGATGAAAAAGACATAATCCGATGTGGTCTCAGTAATCTCAAATCAATCAAAATTAGTAATTTCTTTTATCAAACTCAGGAAATTGAAAAGTGAAAAAGGAAATAAACAAAAAAATCTTATGATATACATTTCACTGTGCAAGTCGGCAGGCCAGGACTCAAACAAGTTATTCAAACCCGCCACCAATGTTGTACAATGTAACCACAACAAATTATTTCATAGCACAAGTTGTTCTTACCAAAAAAAGAGTGTTGTTCTTGTGAAAAGAATGTTAACTTTGAGGAACTAAGTCAGTCTTTATAAGATATGTAAATCAATTTTATTGTAGAAATGTACTGGTAAGAAGTTCATCCACACTCAATTTAGAAAGAACTCAAAAATATCATTGCATTAGGTAAAAAAACATAATGAATACTTCTTGTAATTTCATCATGTATTCACAAACCATTCAATAACTAAAATCTTCACAATAATATTATATATATTTGGAAATACAAGCACACTCAATCATTACTCATAGAGAGATACAATCGGATACAATAGATACAAAAACCAAGCACACTCAATCATTACTCAGAGAGATATAATCGGATGCAATAGATACACAACCAAACACACTCAATCATTACCCATAGAGAGATACAATCCGATACAATAGATAAAAAGCCATAATTGATTACTTAAGGTAGAAAAGGGGTTAAAGTTGAAGTTGATTTTGAACAGGTGAGACATGAAAATGTGCAAGATAAGCCTCAGCCAGCATGCGACCCAACTGAACTTGAGACTCGGTGGATAAGTGAATATTATCGTCGTTCAATTGCAGTCCTTTTGCGTCCACGCAAATCACATTAGGAAGATCAATTTCTTTTTGTGCTTCTCTCACTTTCTCTATATACTTAAATCCCGATGCCAACGCAACCTACACGGTACACTCATATCATCATTACATATAGACTAATTAAGCCCTAATTGAATATGTTAATCATAATTTTTTTATTATAATTTCTACAAAATAAACCTGAATTATGCGAAAATACATTTAGGTTGGTTTGTCGGAAAAAGAAAAAAAAGGAAAGGTAAGTGATGTTGGAAACCTGGATTATGGGAAGAGATGGTAAATTGAGATCTTGTCGAACATTGTGGATGAAGGTCTCCATGTTAACCTTGTAAACTGCATCGTCTTCCTCGTTCTCCGTGTCGCTTTCTCCTTGGAACCACAACAACGCTTTCATCTCGAAATTCTCGTGCCCTTTCACGCTTTCCTTTGCTCTCTTCACCATATTCTCGTACAGTTCCTCCCCACGCGCCCACTCCTTTAAGGCGGTGCCGCCCACGGCGCAGGGGACCAGTCCCACCTCCTCATCCACGCGCGGCCGCAGCGCATTGGCGAACGCCATGCCGGGGCCCACGCCGCAGGCTTTGGCTGTGTCAATGTCGACGTGGAGGGGCTCGTTTGCCGGTTCCCATTTGAGGTTGGCAGCGAGGCGGAGGATGGAAGGGTGGGGGCCGCACTCCGGCGGGACGACGCCGTCCCAGTATTTGCCATTGGCGCCCCTGACGATTCCGCCGCGACCGGNTTTGCGTCCACGCAAATCACATTAGGAAGATCAATTTCTTTTTGTGCTTCTCTCACTTTCTCTATATACTTAAATCCCGATGCCAACGCAACCTACACGGTACACTCATATCATCATTACATATAGACTAATTAAGCCCTAATTGAATATGTTAATCATAATTTTTTTATTATAATTTCTACAAAATAAACCTGAATTATGCGAAAATACATTTAGGTTGGTTTGTCGGAAAAAGAAAAAAAAGGAAAGGTAAGTGATGTTGGAAACCTGGATAATGGGAAGAGATGGTAAATTGAGATCTTGTCGAACATTGTGGATGAAGGTCTCCATGTTAACCTTGTAAACTGCAACGTCTTCCTCGTTCTCCGTGTCGCTTTCTCCTTGGAACCACAACAACGCTTTCATCTCGAAATTCTCGTGCCCTTTCACGCTTTCCTTGGCTCTCTTCACCATATTCTCGTACAGTTCCTCCCCACGCGCCCACTCCTTTAAGGCGGTGCCGCCCACGGCGCAGGGGACCAGTCCCACCTCCTCATCCACGCGCGGCCGCAGCGCATTGGCGAAAGCCATGCCGGGGCCCAGGCCGCAGGCTTTGGCTGTGTCAATGTCGACGTGGAGGGGCTCGTTTGCCGGTTCCCATTTGAGGTTGGCAGCGAGGCGGAGGATGGAAGGGTGGGGGCCGCACTCCGGCGGGACGACGCCGTCCCAGTATTTGCCATTGGCGCCCCTGACGATTCCGCCGCGACCGGACATGTTGCTTTGGCCTGAGAGGACGAAGACTTGCCTTTTGGGTTTTGGGAGTCTGACTGTGTTGGTCTCCATTGGCTTCTGCTTGCTACTGCCACAAGAGAAGGGAACACTTTATCGGAGTGCTCAGGTCGTTGATCTTAATTATTAATCAGATCATGAGTTCACGTGACACCTTATCAAGTGGTAATTAACCACCGACATGTCTCCTGGAGTGGTTTAAAACATGTGTAACACGATATGAAACGTTAAAAATAATATATATTACATCTCCATTGTTATTGAGCTAATAACAAAACATAATTTTCCATAAAATTAAAAAAATAGATTGAAAGTAATACGTCAGTATTTTTCAAATATAAAACAAAACAAAAGTATTGTCGATAAAAAAAAATAATTAAAACAGATTTTCTCTGTGATCTCCGGATGATATTGTGATATTTTAAAATAACATCTTAATATCATTTACGTGTCATTATGCGATCAGTTTAAAATTATTTTATAATCAATAATAATAATAATCATAAACACCAACACGAATCAATCACATAATGACACGTAGATAGTATTAAAATATTGTTAAAAAAATATTGTCAAAGTATCATTATTTTTTTATTAGATAAGATGCCTTATTGTGAATTTGAAACCATCTCTTGTTTATGTATTGGGCTTTATGTCCTGCACACGCTCCTGGAATGTTGGGCCTTAATGTTAAGAAATGGATGGTTACTTCCTACACCACTCGAATTACTTCCAGCATCACCACGTTTTTAAAAAATTCAAAAATTATTCTTTATATTTTAAAAAATTCTACACCTCCACTTCTTTTCTTTTCTTTAACTGAGTCGACATCCGTTGAAGAAAAATTCTTTAATGAATATGTTACATCCATTTAAAATTTATGCTTTTTTATTCATTTTTTTAGTTTTTAATTTTTTAATTTATTGTATTTTAAATTAATATATAAATATATTTTTTTAAAATTTGTTATGTAATTATATTTAAATTAATTTTATTTTATTTAATGAAATAATAATTATTAATTTAATTAAATTATATTATTTTTTTAATTAATTATAATAAAGGGAAGTTCAAGCTTTATACTTTTTTTAAGTTTTTACTTTAAATTGATTAAATAAAATAAAAATCAATTTAATTAAATTAATAATTATTATTTCATTAAAATAAAATAAAATTAATTTATGTAATATATCATAAAAAACAAAAAATTTAATTAACCTATAAATTAATTTAAAATGTAATATTTTAATAAACTAAAAACTTAAAAATAAAAAACTACGGATGTGACATATCCGTTTATTATAATTAATTAAAAAATAATATAATTTAATTAAACTAATAATAATTATTTTATTAAATAAAATAAAATAAATTTACATATAATTACGTAAAAAATTTAAAAAATATTTAAATAATATATATAAAAATTTAAAATACAATAAATTAATAAACTAAAACTTAAAACATAATTAGAAAAAAGCATAAACCTTGAATGGATGTAACATCCGTTGAAGAAAAAAAATGGAATGTAGAATTTTTTAAATATAAATGATAGTTTTAAAAACTTTTAAAATTATAGTGGTGTAGGGAGTCATCTCGGATGGTGTAGGGAGTAAACCTTTAATAAATATAATAATTTTGAAAAGTAAAAATAAAACCCCAAATTTCTCGCAGTTGATACCACCTTTTCTTTTAAAATAAACTGAAAATTAACTTTTACATTTTATATTTTGAAACTAATTTTCGGAATATGAAAAAGAAAAATGTAAAAAATAGTCTGCTAATAGAATTTTCCCGAAATAGTGGGTCAGCTTATTGTCATGAAAAACAATTGGACCTGGAATGTCTTTGACAGTTAATAAAAACAAGCTGTAAGTCTTATAGTTTTAGATAAGCTTTTACTTCCTGCACCTCCTAAATTTCTACTTAAATTTTTAAAATGATCATTTTATCATATGAAAGTGACTTCCGAAATATAATTTCCAGAAACTTTCGGAAAAAGATATTTTACAGAAAAAAAATTTCAAAATAAGACTTTCGGAAAAAAAAAATTCAGAAAAAAAATAATTCCAAAGCATGATTTTCGGAATAGAATTTTCAGAATTCATCAAATATTTTTTGTAATATGACTTTTCGGAACGAGGTGCAGTTAGTAATTATGAGTATGTAGGAAGCAATAGCTTTTTATATATAAGATCTATCAAATAAAATTTATCTGTAAATATTAAAAAACAACAAAACATTTAAGTTAAAGTTAATTTGCAATAAGTTTGCCCAAACACATGAAAATTATTAGTGAGTGATTATAAATTAATGGGTTAGATACCTTTTTAGTTTTTATACTTTAACCCAAATTTAGAATATTTTTCTTATCTTAAGCTTTAATATTTTTTAATCTCTAAATTTTAAAAATGAAATTGATATAATATTTTTAATTTAACCATATTAAATGTTAAATGATATTTTAAACTGACATCTAAATTAAAACGAGTAAAATAGTATAAATAATTTAAATATAAATACAAAATACCATTTAACACATAAAAAAAATTAATACTGTTTGATTAAAAAAGCGATATTAATTTATTAATAAAGTTAAGAGACCAAAATAATTAAAATTTGAGAAAAAATAAATTTTAATTTTGTATCTAAGTATAAATAAAAAACACATTTAATTATAAATTAATTGAGAAAAAAATTACAATTTAAGAAAGCTAATAACAAAATTACTAATTACCGCTAACAAACAACTTTAAACACTTAAATATCACTAACAATATTTGTTTTAATTGAGAGATTTGCGAAGTCAGATAGAAACAAAATATATGAAGAGAAAGCATGAAAAACGATAAATAAAAAAAGTAATTAAAAACGAAAAACAAGACAAATATTTTAAGGTTTTATTTTTGACTTTTTTTTCAAAATAGCGAAGATGTGCTGAGATACACGTTGATTTATAATAAAACATTTACGAAGATTTGCAATTACCAGTTTCTCTGGTTTCCGGATAAGTTTAATTATCATGATAATAGTGAGTATAGAATAAATATAATTAATAAAATAATAAAACAATCATTATTATTAACAGTAATAATAGAATTATAAAATAGTAATAACAGTAAAATAAATAATAATAATAATCAAAGACAAAATAATAATATTTTACTTTTATTAATTAAAATATTTTTTTAATTTATCAAATTCATTACATCATCGTTAACTTTTTAAGTTTTATCTTAAATCTTTTCATTTCTTACCATATTTCTCCAATTTCATTTTTATCTCACCTTCTTCCCAGTCTTACAAATTCATCTTTAAATGTCAATATTGAAATCACAAAATCCACTGTTTTTTAATTAAAAACTCTTTCACATTGTAGCAAGGCTCCATTAGGAGTGAAGTTTACTGATAAATCTAAAAAAGTAAAATCTTAACCGAAAGTCTACCAGATGGAAAATAAAAAATATAAAAAATAAGAAAATAGACAGCATTTGAATTTTTTTTATTTTGAAAAGTGATAGAAAAAAAATCTAAACGAGATTTATGCACACACATAGGTTTTTATGATTGAATTTATAAAGGGGACCGGACCAAGATAGTCAATAATGGTATGAAGATTATGGAGAGTGAGTTTGGTTGTGTCGGTAGCAGACAGGGGCTTAGGTATTTATTATTTTATTGCCAAATTAAATAATTACGTGTCCTCATGTTACATTATTCACAAAATATTGGGTAGGGGATCACAAACATTTCTCTTTCAAGAGATACGCAACACAACTTGGATATGTTTTTTCCTTTTTTTCCATAATTTTATTTTCTCTAATCATTAAAGAGTTTTTAATTTTTAATTATATATCAAAGAATTCGCCACAAGAGTTAATTAATATATTAAACTCAAGATTAAATTATCGGAATATTCGACGAAAATATTAAATTTTAAAACTCTAGTCAAGAGTTGGTCATGGTCTGAAATATTTTAAAATGGTTTCTCCAATAAACAAAAGTTGAACTACACCACTTATTCTCCACCACCAAACCACATTCATGACAGGCATATTGCCCTTAAACTACTGACAAATTAAACCAGTAAGCACGTTCTCCACCTGTGCCATTTAACATGCGTTTAGTCTAATTTTTATAACAAATTACTTTTTGGATGTATAGGTGAGTCAATAACTTGACTCGTTGAGATAATTTATTATTTACTTATTTTTTCAATAAAAAATATTTTTTCTTAAACTTTTGTCAATATGGTATTTGAAATATGATTTAATATTTATTAATATCTGTATACACATATAAAGTTGACTAATTTTGTCGAAGATGGACTGAGACAGCAAAACATCTTTGTCTTAGTATCTTAATCACAATATAATATAAGCTGCCTTTAGTTTTGTTTTATTCCATAGCCGCGCGTGATGATGATGCAAAAAGAAAAAAAAGTAGTGCACATGCATGGCGATGAACAAAAATGCAGTTAGATCAGACAATGATTCGTTTGAGCGGTGCTTAGTCAAAGTTACAATCATTGTCACCTTGCATAAACAAACACTTGTCTCTAATATTTTCCTGTGTTGATGCTAATTCAAGTCAACAAAAGACGGAAAAGGATGAACAAACACCTTGATCTAAAAACAGGGTGTGTGTGGAACACATCGGTGACATCATTATGAAGAAGAATTAATTGAGTGGAGCAGCAGCATGGATCTTGTCTAAGATTTGTAGAGTCTCTTTCATGGAGGGTCTCTTTTGTGGGGCATGAGAGACACAGCTAAGCCCCAACTTGAACCATGCCACTACCACATTCTCCCTCCCTTCTATTTCAGATTTTATTGCCACGTCAGCCATTCTCAAAACCCGGTTCTGCTCCTCCTCCACCAAACCCGGTTCGTTCCACTGCTCCAACTCCCGCTCCAGGAAAACCCTCCCGGTTAGAAGCTCCAGTAACACCATTCCAAAAGAGTACACGTCCCATTTGTGACTGGGTTTGATGTTCTCAAGTGACTCTGGGGCTTGATAGGGCATTATGTGGCCCGCACCACTCGACGATGATCCCATTGCTGCGAAGGGACTTGAACCACATGGCAGGTC